AATGTGGTTGATGTTTTCAACTTTACTCCTTTTGATCCAAAAAGGAAGTAGGGTCGTGTAATTTCTTATTCTGAACTGATGAATGTTTGAGACAATATATTTTTGTTCCTGGGGCTTTAACGATTAAATTTATTTTTGATGTGATTCGCATGTCTTTGAGTGTTTCTGAGTTTCACACTACCACTAAGTAGTAATGTTTTCTTATCTTTGAGGGAAACTCATTATCTGAGGGCTTCATACTTCTTATGGTCCAAAGCAAAAATAAGAAGGATGGGAAGAAGGGAATCTCTTTGACAGTTCGATTGATATCTGAGGATTATTTCCTCATCTAGTGATCTAACCGTCAAGGGAACCCTTCTTGCCATTGATTTGTAGGGAGTAAATATATCAATACTTGTTGTTTATTGTATTTTTTCGATGTGGGACAAAATACTTGTCCTATAGAAATGTTTTGATGTCCTCGGACTCAAAAGATCCGAAGCATGTATCTGACTGGCATCTTCAAACACCTGAGATTCGTAATGTATATCCCCTTGGCCTTTGTATGTGCCTAGAATAAATATTGTTGATACCTTTGAATTTTTAATTTTTGGAGTATTCATAGTACCATGATCTGAGGATTTTGAAAAATGAAGGCTCAAGAAAGAGGGTTCTTTGATAGTTAGGTTTTGAAGTCCTGTTTTATCAAGTGACATCTTTCTTGGTGACTAACATTTATAAGATTGTACAATATATAGCAATCTTAGTTTTTATTTGATTTTGATATGGGACAAACTTATAATGGGACTCACACTATTGGGCCCAGTGAGGGGGCTTGTGAGTGTAATATCCATAAAGAGTATTTTCCCTTATTTGGGTTTTAACCTGTTGGATTGCCTCTGGACCCATGAATTCGAGGTGTTGAATTCTATAGTGATTGTGAATGTCTCTGACCTCTTGGGGGTCCGAAGAGCAAAGTTCCTCGGTTAAGATCCGAATAGGAATTGAATGATAATTTCAGACACTTGAGGTCTGAAATGAATAGTTCCTTGGCGCTGGGCCTGAGAGGAAGTGTGCTGAACCAGACACTTAGCGTCCGAAGCGAGTAGTTCCTCGGCGCTGAGCCTGAGAGGAAGTGTGCTGAACTGGACACGTAGTGTCCGAAATGAGTAGTTCCTCGGCACTGAGCCTGAGAGGAAGTGAGCTGAACCGAACACTTTGGATCCAAAGCGAGTAGTTCCTCGGCGCTGAGCCTGAGAAGAAGTGTGCTGAACCAGAAACTTAGGGTCCGAAGGGAGTAGTTCCTCGGCGCTGAGCCTGAAAAGAAGTGTGCTGAAGTGACTAGTTCCTCGGTGCTGAGCCTGAGAGGAAGTGCACTAAATCTGACACTTTGGGTCCGAAGCGAGTAGTTCCTCGGCGCTAAGCTTAAGAGGAAGTGCACTGAACCAGACACTTTGGGTTCGAAGCGAGTAGTTGGAAAAACTCTAGTATTGTAGAATAATTCAAGGCCGAAGATTTCAAAATCGATATGAGGCCAAGAAAGAGAGTAATTGTGGCTTGGAAGTCTCTCATTTTGTTTAAGAGACTATCTTCCACATAGACTCTCTTCGTGGCGTCTAGATATATTGTTCTATCAATATATTAACTACACAATCTTTTTATTTCTAGTTGATGTGGGACAAAGACTAGAGTTTAAAAATGTGGGTAAAAAACTTAGGCTTTTTTAAAAAGGGTTTATTGTAAGGAATGCCCGTTGGTATCAGGACTTTGAACAGAATTTGGGCTGGGTCGTTTCTATTACCAGCGGGCCCTCCTTACAATGCACTCCATTACTTTAATATGTCCCTCTTTAAAGGAATGTAAATAGTATTTTTTTATCGATGTGGGACAAACTTATAATGAAATATGAGTTACTATGAAAAGAAACTCCAAACAAAACAATCGTTGAGATTTTATTTTGTCGGTTTGTCTATTTTGTCATATTTTTGTCGTTTCATAAAATCATTTCATAAAATCGAAACTATGTAGGGTACTAGTATTGCCCTCATTTTATGAAAAGAAAGATAGATACAAAGCGAAAATTGCATCCCACATCAAATATGACAAGAAATACTTTAAATTTGAAAAAAGAGGATGTACTCAATAAACTAGATTTATATGGGCTATAAGCAGCCTTATTTGCATAAAGAAATTCTTGTAAAATTGACAAATTTTCCTAATGGTAGTACCTTTTAAGGTGTATCGCATTCCAAGGACATGCAATTGGACGTCCATCAACTTCGGCTAACCAATAAGCTCTCTTCCCTACCACTTCTGTAACTCTATAAGGTCCGGTCCAATTGGGTTGTAACTTCTTTACATGAGATGTTTCCTGTTTCAGCACCCAATCGTCTACTACAAAGCTTCTGAACTTGACGCGCTTGTTATAATTGTTGCACAACTGTTGTTGGTATGAGATGAGCCTAATTGCTGCATCATCTCTTTTTTCTTTCAAAAGGTCTAGGCTATGCTCAAGTTGCTGTTCATTGTTCCCTTCGAGTAGCAAGGATGTCTGAAGGGTTGGAATTGCTGATTCGGTAGGGATGACTGCTTTAGAACCATAAGCCATAGCAAAGGGACTTTCTCCCATTGGCTGCCTTGGGGTAGTTCGATATGCCCAAAGCACCTGAGGTAGATTCTCGTACCACTTTGATTTGAGCTTCTCCAACTTTTTCTTCAGACAGCTGAAAATGGTTCGGTTAGTTATTTCAGCTTACCCATTTCCCTGCGGATGGCTAACTGCGGCTAACTTCTGCCTGATCCCATACTCGGCGAAGAATTTTGTTGTGCTTCTGTTATCCAAGTTCGGACCATTATCCATTATGATAACATTTGACACCCCAAATCGGCAAATTATGTTATTCCATAGGAAACTCTTTACTTGCTCATGGGTTATACTTGAATAAGCCTCAGCCTTAACCCATTTTGTGAAGTAATATGTGGCTAGTAACGTGTATTCCTTTTGTTCCACAGTTTTGGGTAAAGGGCCTATTGATCAGTGCTTAAATGTTGCACATTTCAGCACCTAAACTAGGGTATTTTAGTCATTGCACCTATCTTATTTTCATGTTTTAGTTCTAATTTATGTTTTTGTCAATTTCAGGTCAATAAGGTTCAAACGGACTAATTTTGGTTCACTAAAGCCTTTTTGGAGTCAAGCAAAGACATTCAGAAAAAATCAGAAAATGACAAAAAGAGGTCGCAGCCCATTGCTCGTATAGTGTGTTTATTCTTCAAAAATGGTCAATCTCGGGCCTTTGATGATGTTCCCAAAGATGAAGAAACAAACCAATTAGCCCGGGGCCAAAATGGAGCTAAATAAGGCTTAAAAGAAATTTCCAACTATGGGGGATCGATCCCCCACTATTCACAGAACTAAAAATGCCCTTGGGGGATCAATCCCCAAGGCTGTGAGATCAATCCCCCAGTACCTGGCAGCATTACGGGATTTTCTTATTTTGGGCTTATTTTTGTAACTTATGGGCTTTAATAGGGTTTGTTACTTAAGGCCCAGTAAGCTATTAGTTTAGGATTAGTTTTTATTTTATTTAAGGAGTTTTTAATTTATTAATGAGGGAAGGATTTTAGGTTTTTATTATTTTTCTGTACCGTGATATTACGTTCTCTATGGAAAAAGGAGAAAGCTAGGGTTGGAAGAGCATTATACGGAGGCTCTGTCTACAATTGAAGGAAGAAGAAGAAGGAGCCAAAAGATGGGGATTGGGCTTGTTGACACCATGATCATCTCCTCCATGAGCTAGTTCTTCACTTAGGGCTTGGATGAGCCCTAAGTTCATATAACCTATACATTTGTATTTCTTTTCTTGGGGAATTAATATGTTGTAATTAATTGTATGGCTTTGTGATTTTTTATATATACATGCTTGATTTGACAAATTAGGGCTTGTATTGATAAATTCTTCCATTAAAATCTCTAGTTGATTGTATGTCTATATATGATTAATTAGGTATTTTAGTCTTCATTAGATGATTGAAAATTAATTCTTCCATTGATTCTAAATGAAAATTGCATGTCTATGTGTGATTGATTTAGAATTATACTCTACACAAGATACTTCTTTTAGTTGTGTTTAGTGATGGCCATAGCATGATACTTAGTTGATACAATTGTCAATTAATTTGATGGATAAAGGTTTAATCTTGATGGGTTGTTCTACAAATTAGCTTATTGTCATTAGTTAACTGTAGTAAAGTAAGCAATTTGTGCTTGATTATGTTAATCCATACTTCTAATTACAATTAGTATTATCTTCTTGAATGATGTGTGCTCTTATCGGATACATTTTTGAATGTGTATGGTGGGTTATGACGTAGTCTTGAATGGGTTCTACACTTTAGTTTAATTTTCATTAGGTAGACAATTCATTCTTGATATTGATAATCTATGCTTACAATTGTGATTTGTGATGATAATGTGACCACATCTATAATTACACTAATGAATTCCCCATTAATTGAAAGCATATGGTTAATTTCATGAACTTAGTAGTGAATCCTAACCCTAAGACTCTCTTCATATCTCTTTAATCCCTTAGTTTAATTTAGTTTAATTTACTGGCATTGCAATTTATTTAATCACTTCACCAAACTCTTTTTCTCTCAACACACACACTCTCTCTCTTTCTCTCTTGTGCAATTTAATTAGCACTAAAATCAAGTTTAATCCCAACATGTGTTCAATCCTTTATGAACGATCCCTTCTCACTTCATACTTGACGGTATAAGTGTCAAGTGGCTTTTATATAAATTTAAAGTATGATGTCCGTTTGATACCATTTCTAAAACCAAAGTGTTGTGCATTATTTTGTGCCCATGCTAACTACGGCCAACTTCTGCCTAATCCCATGCTCGGCGAATAAATTTGTTGTGCTGCTGTTATCCAAGTTCAGACCATTATCCATCATGATAACATTTGACACCCCAAATCGGCAAATTATGTTGTTCGATAGGAAACTCTTTACTTATTCATGGGTCACACTTGAACAAGCCTCAGCCTTCACCCATTTTGTGAAGTAATATGTGGCTAGTAACGCGTATTCCTTTTGTTCCACAGTTTTAGGTAAAGGGCCTACCATATCAATTCTCCATTGTGCGAATGGCCATGGATTTGCCATTGCGTGTAAGTCTTCAGCAGACTGATGTTTCATTGGACCATAACGTTGGCATTTATCACATCTCCTGGCATACTCTTCAGCATTCCAAGCCAAGTATGGCCAGAAGTAGCCTTGAGTTAGAACCTTATGTGCGAGGGATCTGCCACTAGAGTGGTTGCCACAATCCCCGTCATGGATTTGCTTCAATATCACGAGAGCCTTAGTGGGGCTTAAACATTTCAGGTAAGGACCTGAAAATGACTTCCGATATAATTGGTTATTGATGATTGAATATTTAGCTGCAGTGAGTTTGAGCTTCCTTGCCTCGGCTTTCTGGTTCGGACGAGTTCCATGCTTAAGGTAAGCTTCCAACAGATCAATCTAGCATGGCTCTCGCGGAATATTTGGAATCACCATTACCTCCTGCTGAGGGCTTATGCTAGGTTTGTCCAGGATGTCGATTGGTACAATCCGAATCAAGTCTTCGTCTGAAGAAGATGCGGCTAATTGGTCTATTTCAGCATTCTCATCACGAGGTACTTGGTAAAATTCGATTTGATCGAATCCTCGTGTAGCACTCTCTACAGCTTCTTTGTGTGCTTTCATTCTTTTTTCTTTGGGCTGATATTTGCCTGTCACCTGATTTATAATAAGTTGTGAGTCACTAAAAATTTTTAAACATCGTACCTGAAGTTGGTTAGCCAACCGAAGCCCAGCGAGTAAAGCCTCATATTCAGCTTCGTTGTTAGTAGCAGGGAAATTTAAGCAGATTGACTGTTGCAGCTTGGTGCCTTCAGGTGTTGAAATAATGATTCCAACTCCTGCACTAGCTTGATTAGAGGAGCCATCCACCCGGAGCTCCCAATGTGGTTCAGGAAGCTCTGTCTCTTCGGGCTTATCCTCATATTCTAAGAGAAAATTAGCTAACACATGTCCTTAGTGGGATACCTTCGGCTTATAAGTTATGTCAAAGGAATTGAGCTCGATGGCCCACTTGGTAATTCTTCCAAATAAATCTGGCTTAGAGAGTATAGCTTGTATAGGGTAGTTGGTGAGTTCCATGATGTTATGGATTCGAAGTAATGCCGAAACTTTCTCTTTGTATAAACCAATGCTAGTATGATCTTCTCTGCTTTGTTGTACCGCGTCTCGACATCTGTCATCGTCTTACTGGTGTAAAAGACTGGGTATTGACTCTTTCTTTCCTCTTTGATTAATACAGCACTTGTGGCTATCTGGAGACTGCTAAGTACATGATAAGGGTTTCGCCAGGTTGCGGAGCGGACAAGATTAGAGGTTCAACCATGTAACACTTCAATTGATTGAGAGTCATTTGCTGCTGAGGTCCCCATATATCTTTGTTCTTAAACTTTATTACATCGAAGAATGGTTTGCACTTATCTGATAGTTGAGATATGAAACGGCTGAGAGCTGCAACTCGACCAATTAGAACCTGTACTTCCCTGCGAGTTTTTGGTTCTTGATTTGTATGAGGGCCTGAGCCTGAGCCGGGCTTACCTCTATCCCTCTTTTATTGACGATATGGCCAAGGAATTGGCCTAAAAAGACTGCAAAGGAACACTTAAAATGATTTAGCTTCATGTTGTACTTCTTGAGAGTGTTAAAGACTTCCTGGAGGTGCTTCAGATGATCCTCCTTTTTACACTTTTAACCACGATGTCATCAATGTAGGCTTCAACTGTCTTTCCCAGCATTTCATTGAAGATCTTGTTAACAAGACACTGGTAAGTGGCTCTAGCATTCTTCAGTTCAAAGGGCATGACTCTATAACAGTAAGTGCCCTTCTCTGTGATAAAGACTGTTTTTTCTTCATCCTCTGGATTCATTGGGATCTGATTATACCCGGAGTATGCATCGAGGAATGTAAGTCTCTCGTATCCAGTAGTAGCACTAACCATCTGATCTATCTTGGGTAGGGGAAAGCTATTTTTAGGGTAAACTTTATTAAGATTTGTGAAATCTATGCAAACCCTCCACTTCCCATTCTTCTTCCAAACTACCACTACATTCGAAAGCCATTGTGGGTAGTGCATTTCTTGGATAAAGCATGCTTGAAGTAGTTTGTTTACTTCTTCAGCAATAATTCGATTGTGCTCAGTAGCAAACCTTCTGTGTCTTTGCTTAACTAGTGTGAACTCTGGATCCATTTTCAGGCTATGGCAAGAGATTGAAGGGTTGATTCCTACCATGTCCGAATGATCCCAAACAAACGCATCTGTATTATGTCGAATGACATTAATTAGTGCTTCTTTCTCTTCGGCTGTGGGGGAAGAGCCCATATAAGCGATTTTCTGAGGATCATCGAGGACAACTTCTATGGTTCCGAGGGATTCCTCGGTAGGTTTCATAGCTTCGGTTTCCACCTCTGCTTTAAGATACTTAGGTAGAGGGCTCTGTAATTGCTATTTGGACGTGCCTCTGGGAATTGCATCTGGCTGAGGCTGTTTAGTCATCTTCTTTGCTTCATTCAGTGTCAACATGTAGCATTCTTTTGCAGTGACCTGATCTCCCCAAAGATTAATAACCTCCTTACCGTCCGGAGACAGGCATCGCATCACTTGATGAAGGGTAGATGGAACTCCGTTCATTCGGTGGATCCAGCCTCTTCCCATAATGAGATTATAAAAAGGATGGATCTCTGTTAGGACAAAGTTCTCCTTCAGTGTCCTTTTTGCCGCAGTGACGGATAAATTAATCACTCCAAAGGGGTCCACCTTTGTGCCATCAAACCCCATCAAGGGACTAGAGGTGGGTCGAATTGATGATGACGGGATCTCCAGCTGCTCAAAGACCGCCTTTGTGATAATATTGGCGTTACTACCTGGGTCAATCAAAACCCTTTTGATCATGTAATTTGCCACAAGAAGGTTGATGACTAACGGGTCCTCGTGGGGGAGTTGAACTCTAGATAAATCTTCATCACCGAATCCAATACTGATACTGCCCGAAGCAATAGTGTTCACCGAGGATAACTTTCTTAGCTTATGAGGCGTCCTCAGTCTGGATCTATACACTTCTTCCGACTCTTGGTCGTCCTCTGATCTCCTATGTATTACATGGATGACCTTTATTTGATTACATTCTACTTTCCGAGGGTTGACCTCTCGAGGCTTCACGTACTCCTTTGTTGTGAGGTAGTCTGCCAACTCACCCCTGATTAACATGTTCTCCACTTGCCGCCTAAGGGATCTGCAATCATTGGTTGTATGCCCTTAATCTCTATGGTAAGCACAGTGTTTGCTCTTGTCCCTCTGCTCCAGAGGTTACCTCATTGGCTGAAGGGCTGCGAAATTCATCTTGTTTTCATGGAATAGCCGAGCCAAGGTGGTACGAAGAGGTGTGAATCTTTCCTCTGTTTTCTGCCTCTTCTCAGGTGTCTAAGCAACCGGTGTTGAAGCGTGCTGGCTTTTCTGACTTTTTGAATTTGAAACTCTTTCTCGAGGTTTGTTCTCCACAGTGACGAGGGTGGCATGCTGCGCATGGTGGGCTACATTCTCCTCAAGTCTGATATAAACCTGTTCCCTAACATTGACAGTCTGCATATTCGGAGGGGAATATTTGACTAGGGAGGTATGAAACTTGGTTCCTTGAATCATTGCAAGCTTGAACGTTTCTATTGCAGTTGTAGGATGGCATTCTGCTATTTCTGAGGCCTCCATGTTAAACCTGGACAAGAAATCCTGTAACGTTTCTCCTTTTTTTTTGCCTTATAGTGAAAAGGCTAGCGATACTCTTCTTTTGCTTCTTGTTTCCACAGTACTGTGCTAGGAACATAGTGCACAGAGTTTCGTAGTCCAAGATGGACTTGTGTAGCCTATTCCTGAACCATTCCAATGCAGCTCCTGTTAAGCTTGTCGAAAAAACCTTACACATGAATTAATTGTTGTGATCATCCAGGGCCATCTTTTGTGCGTAGTGATCAAGATGACGAGATAGATCTCTGGTATCATCAAATTGAGTAAAGGAAGGCATAGTGAATTTCTTAGGTCTGTCAACATGGTATATATCATCTGTGAACAGAGTCTTCACTAGAGAGTTCTTATGCTCTCTGGCTATCTCAGCTGGCGTCTGAATTCTCAGGAATCTTTTTTCATCATAGGCCTCCTGTACACCTGCACCATCCGGAATTCCATTAGACCATACCGTAAGCTTATGGCTGGATTCGGCCTGTTTGTTCTGCGTGCAACAAGGAAGATTATCCGAAGCTAACGCCTCGGTCCTTGTCTTCTGCTCTTGCTGAACTTCGTTCGACCGAGCCTCATTGGGCCGTGCCCTATTAGCTTGAGGCTCGTTAACTGGAGGAATGTTTTGATTAGTGGGAGGTGCTACTGTATCACCTGGCGGTGGCTGTGGTGTCAACTGAGCCATCACCGTTTGAAGAGTGTTGTTTGGCTGTTGAAGCAATGCAATCTAGGCTACGCTAGCTTCGTTCGCCTGACGAAGCGTTTCGAATTGGTGTAAGAATTCTTCTCGCATCTTCTGCATCAACTCCATTTGCTGATCCACCGCTTTTGCAGATCCTCCGTTCGACATTCCAGATTGTAATAGCAGGATCGATTTGAAAAAAAAAATTGGGACTATATTTCTATATGTTCCCACAGACGGCGCCAAAATGTAGGTGCAAAATTTCTCTAAACCAATAACAATTAAAAGAAAAATTACAACTCACTCAAATAAAATAACAATGAACAAGAATTGTATATAGAGAAGCGTAAATTGTTTGATCCTTTTATTGGAGGTCCATACTTCTATTTATACACAAAAAGTGGTAGAATTATGGTAGGACTCGCATTGCTTGTCCTCCAATTCTTTCCATATACAACATTCTTTATAAATAGAGTTCTTTCCTTTTTTTTTCTAATTCTTTCCATGTCAAACTTTCCTTGCACAGAACTTGCCTTCTTTGTTGAATCCTTTGCCTAGTAGGACTGGTCGATCTTTAAATGTACTTGGGGCGGATGTAACTTGGTTTAATTGACTTTGTTAACGGGCTGGAATTTCAACATTAGTGATGTTGGGCTGTTAATGCCTTTACCCGGGCTTGAACGAAGTTGGAGGTCCAATATTGATGATATTGGGCTAAGGAGTAATGTAATTTGGGCATGACCCTGGCATTTGAAATCTATCAAAGATAGATTTATATTGCGGTGACGTGGACAACTCTTATTGGAGGGGGATTTTTTTCCTCCACACCATTCGATCTCAATCATTATTAATTATGGAATCCAAAATAATTGAAATAAAAAATTATAGAAGAAAGTTTACCTCTGTATGAAGTTTGTGGAGAAACTGAAGAGTGGAGAGAAACAAGAAGAAAGTGAAGAAGAGTAAATGGAGAAACTATTGACTGGGGCACGAGAGAAAATAAAGTCTCTTCCTCTTCCTTCCCTGTGAAATAGACGAGATACTGGACTACAAAACTTTAGGTACATTAAAATTTAGTAAGCTAATTTTATTATCCCTTAAAAAAAAAATAGAGATAAAAAAATAATGCTAGCATTTTTAATAACGTTCCCACTAGATCTCAAATACCAAGGTGCAAAAGAGTTTTGAGATTTGTAATCTCTCTATATGATTCTGAACAATCCTTTTAGATATCACGTTTGCTTGATTCTTAAAAAAAAAAAAAATTTAATTTAAATTTATTAAAATAATTTCCTTTATTCATTCCTTTCTTTTCTCTGGTAATTATTGTAATCTTTTCTTTCCTTTTTTCGCGTAGCCCTTGGGTTTTTGCTCTCCCTTCAGTTCGCGTGCACATTGTCTACTTGTACCTCTGTGTAGCTAATTGCAGCAGCCAAGTAAAGGACAGAAGGTATAAGAATATGTTTTCTGGGAACTCTGGACGCATTGCATCCGAACTCGCTTCCTCAAAGGTTGATGCTGCTGCCTTTTCTCTTTCGTTTTGGATCTCGATAGATTGACGATGGTAGGAGCCTCGTTCAACAAATTTATGGTAAGGCACATGTCTACTTATGTAGCTTGATTCTATGTTATATATATGATATACATATATGCTTGTTTTTATGTATATATATTGAGTTAAAATCACAAAATCGTAGTACATGTTTCTCATATAACCCCTTCTAGGGTTGTATAAGCACTTGAACTATTGAAGAGATGATCAATCTCTATTTACCTAAAAAAAAAAAATAATAAATGAAGAAGATTCAATCTCTTTTAATTGGGTCTTCTGATTTTGAACAGCTTTTCTTCATCTTCTAATTTAATTTAATTTAATTTCTCTAGTCTTCCATTTGATTTAGTTTCTATCATCTCAATGATTTGATCTTTAATTGTATTATATTTTCAATCAGTGTCAACTTGGGGATAACTCAATATTGACACCCATTTTGGTAATTGGGTTTGGGCTTCAATTGGACTTGATGATCAATGATATAGTAATATGGGCCAAGAACATAAAGCCTGGTCAGTGATGATGTGCTAGGAGTTTGGGCCGAGAAGGATATCTGGGTCATGGAAGGTGATTGGATTGAAGGTGGTTTGGAATAGCATTTTAGTTGGAATAAAATCCATTAGTGCTATACATGAACAGTGACGTGGCAGTTCTCATACAAAATAACGCTATATGCAAGGATGCTACATGGATAGAATGTTCTTGAACTTTATGTTAGATAAGATTTATGTGTTTACTTGATTTTTGAATTAGTATTTATCTAGGAATGTTTAGTTTGAATTTATTTTTAGTTGGTTTATCGATAGGATTAGATTTTATTTGGAATTAGTATTTAGTTAGGATTAGTTTAATTTGAATAATTATGTGGTTGTATTAGAATATAACTAGGATGCTTGTATTTAGGAATTTGTTTTACCATTTATTCTATAAATAAACCAAGAGGGTCCAGCACCCTCAGAATCTTTATTATTATTTGTTTGCTTCTTCAAGCATTTCTAAGAATAGCATCCTTGCTATTTCTTCATCATCTCTATTTCTCTATCTCAATCTCTCAGTATCTCTCTCTTTCTCTCTCTCTCTCTCTCTTCTTCTCTCCTTATTCTTTCCTCTTCTTTTCTTGCTATATCCATTATCTTCCCCTTTCTATTCTCTTGTTACGTTACTATAATTTGTTTACAGAAAGTCCTTTTAATTAGGGCAATATTGAACTCATTTAGGAGTTTATTTGTTCTCTATCTCCTATGATCGCCTGAAGTCAACATTCCCTAAGAGACTAAAAGTTGACAATTCACAATTGAACCATATATTTGGTTCTGGCACGCCCGTTTTCCATCAATTTAAGATCGGCTCTAGCCAGCCGATTTTAGGGTCAACATTTTTGGCACGCCCGGTGGGACCCCATCAGGTGAGCAAGTTATAGTAAAGATGCCTCCAAAGCTAAGAGGCTCGAAATGCGTGAATATAGGAGATAATACTGACGAAGAAAATCCACGGATCGGCGTAGGCGATAATGCCGACTCTTCTATTCCATCCGACATTCCTTTAGGTCGGGTACTGGAATCGATTATGCAAAAATTCGATGCCCAGCAAGCACAGATCGGTGAGGTGAGATCTCAAATGGGAGAATCAAATCAGCTTTTGGTTTCTCAAATTCATGAGATGAGATCGATGACAGGAAAGTTAAACCAAATGATGTACGCCCAGTTGGAGAAGATGAGTCAGAAACTTGAAACAAATGTACCAGCAAATCAAAGCCGAGAAAATCGGCATGATCACGCTGAAGCATCTCATGTCAATGAGTCTATATTCCAACGTATGACAGCACCATTGATACATACATCCCAAGGGCCTCGAACAGGCATCATACCGCCAAGTGCAGGACTTGGTATTACAATCGGCAATGTGCCAAATCATACCAGTATATCAGCAAATCAAAGCCGAGACTATCGGCATGATCAAGCTGAAGTATCGTATATCAATGAGTCCATATTCCAGCGTATGTCAGCACCATTGATACATATATCCGAAGGGCCTCGAACAGGCATCATACCGCCAAGTACAGGACTTGGTATTACAATTGGCAATGTGCCGAATCATACACTCGGCATGCCGATTGGGAATCCATCAATCTTATCAGATCCGCCGGCAGTAACTACTGTGCCGGTATATCATCCACCAGTGAATAATCAGTATAATCAAAATGTGCAGCATCCACATGTGCAGCCGATTCCACCAGTGAGAGATCAACAAGAAGTGGTAGGAAACCTAAACCAAGATAGTGCTAATCCATTGATACCTCCAGCGGCTGCCGGGGGGCAAGTAAATGCCGATCCACAAAGAAAGTGGGTTAATCTATTCATCCCGCGGCACCCAAATGATCCTCCAGGAAGAAATGCAGGGATCGATAGGTCTCAGATTTTGGCTTTAATACAGGCCGAAGTGGCACAGGGTCGCAGACGTGCTCGGCCAATATACAGAAAGCCCTATCCTGATCATGTCGATGCTCATGAGTTGCTTAGAAATTATCGGTATCCTGATTTTTCTATATACAGTGGTGAAGAGAATTTTTCTACGGTGCAACATATTGCGAGGTTCACAGCACAATGTGGTGAAGCAGGCCCAAGTCCTTGGTTGAGGATGAGATTATTCTCTAGTTCTCTTACCGGGGCGGCGTTTGAATGGTATAGCAACTTACCAGCCAACTCTATTCAGACTTGGGATGAAATGGAGGAAGCCTTCCATACCTAATTCTACTGAACAGAGACAGAGGCTACGCTGGCAGACATATCCCGTTTATCTCAGTTGCCGAGCGAATCGGTTGAAACTTTCATGGCCAGGTTCAGAAAAGCTAAACTCAAATGCCGAGTAAGTTTGCTAGAACCAGAATGCATCAAGTTGGCATTAAACGGTTTAGACATTGAACTTCGCAAGAGGTTTGATGGGGTCGAGTTTCAAGATCTTTTCGATTTGGCAGACAGAGCTTCTCGGTATGAGGTTCAACTAAAGAAGAAAAGAATTATTGAGTGGCTTACCTTCCCAATTAAGCCTGGTGAAGAGTCTCGGTAGGATTATTCTAGCAATAGTCATGTAAAGGCAGAAAAACAAAATCGGCTAGAATATATATCTAGCCGATTCTATTCCCAAAATCGGCATCCCTCAAAAATAAAAATTATAGAAGAGGTCTTCGCTACTGATGTTGCCGAGTTAGATGATGATTGGAGGATTCCTTACATCTTATTCTTACCACATCCAACTCCAAAAGCCGATCGAAAAATAAAAAGAAGTGCAGTCGATTATGTACTTATGGATGGAGATCTTTATAGAAGATCAGCTGATGATGGTCTACTATTTCAATGTTTTAGCAAGTTTGAAGGTTTAAAAATTATGGCAGAGGTACACGAAGGAATATGTGGAGCTCACCAAGCCGGCATCAAAATGAAATGGTTGATACGCCGATATGGATATTATTGGCCTGGAATGAGGAAAGATTGTATGACCTATGCAAAGGGTTGTACAGATTGTCAAAAGCATGGCCCAATGCAGTGGATTACAGCAATAGAGATGCAATTATTAGTTAAACCATGGCCCTTCAGAGGTTGCGCCATAGACTTAATCGGCAAGATTAATCCTCCTTCATCAAAGGGTCATCATTGGATTATTTTAGCTACCGATTATTTCACCAAAAGGGTAGAAGCTGAGGAATATGTATCAGTAACTAGTAATACTGTTATACAGTTTTAGAGAGACATATCTTTTACCGATTTGGTTTATCAGAAACAATTGTTGCCGATAATGGATTTGTGTTTCGAGCAGGAGAAGTATTGCAACTCGGTTGTGATATGCAAGTAAAAATAGTAACTTCAACACCCTATTATGCTCAAGGGAATGGCCAGGCTAAGGCTTCGAATAAAGTTGTAATTGAAATCATTGAAAAAATAATAAAGGACAAGTCGAGGTGTTGGCATTGAACCTTTTCAGAAGCCTTGTGGTCTTATAGAAATTCAAAGCAAACAAGTACACAAACAACTCCTTATCGGTTAACCTTTGGCCATGATGCTGTGTTACCAATGGAGTTAAATGTAAAATCAACAAAGGTAATGAAGGCTTACGACAAAAGGGTGAAGTTCAAGTCATTTGCAGAGGGTGATATGGTTTGGCAAACAATTCTCCCACCTGGAAAAGTAGACAGAACTTATGGCAAGTGGTCACCTACATGGAATGGACCATATATAGTTCATCAGGTGTTGCATGGAGGTGCATATAAGTTGAAGGATTTGGATGGTGAGGTGCATGAAAGACCAATAAATGGAAGGTATTTGAAGAAGTATCAACCCACTATTTTTGAACTTTTGGAGGAAAAGAAAACCTCTAATAAGTCAAATATAGAGGGTGAGTGTTCAACTTAAGCCATTTATGAACCTGGAATAATGATGACAGTGGGTGGTTCTATGGTGTGTATATCAACTTGATACAATGGGTGTAATTTAAATTTTGGAAGCCGAAGGGTTAAAACGGCTACCAAAATTGGGGGGCATTGTTGACACCCATTTTGGTAATTGGGTCTGGGCTTCAATTGGACTTGATGATCAATGATATAGTAATATGGGCCAAGAACATAAAGCCTGGTCAGTGATGATGTGCTAGGAGTTTGGGCCGAGAAGGATATCTGGGTCATGGAAGGTGATTGGATTGAAGGTGGTTTGGAATAGCATTTTAGTTGGAATAAAATCCATTAGTGCTATACATGAACAGTGACGTGGCAGTTCTCATACAAAATAACGCTATATGCAAGGATGCTACATGGATAGAATGTTTTTGAACTTTATGTTAGATAAGAATTATGTGTTTACTTGATTTTTGAATTAGTATTTATCTAGGAATGTTTAGTTTGAATTTATTTTTAGTTGGTTTATCGATAGGATTAGATTTTATTTGGAATTAGTATTTAGTTAGGATTAGTTTAATTTGAATAATTATGTGGTTGTATTAGAATATAACTAGGATGCTTGTATTTAGGAATTTGTTTTACCATTTATTCTATAAATAAACAGAGAGGCACTCTATACAAGAGGGTCCAGCACCCTCAGAATCCTTATTATTATTTGTTTGCTTCTTTAAGCATTTCTAAGAATAGCATCCTTGCTATTTCTTCTTCATCTCTATTTCTCTATCTCAATCTCTCAGTATCTCTCTCTTTCTCTCTTTCTCTCTCTCTCTTCTTCTCTCCTTATTCTTTCCTCTTCTTTTCTAGCTATATCCATTATCTTCCCCTTTCTATTCTCTTGTTACGTTACTATAATTTGTTTACAGAAAGTCCTTTTAACTAGGGCAATATTGAACTCATTTAGGAGTTTATTTGTTCTCTATCTCCTATAATCGCCTGAAGTCAACATTCCCTAAGAGACTAAAAGTTGACAATTCACAATTGAACCATATATTTGGTTCTGGCACGCCCGTTTTCCATCAATTTAAGATCGGCTCTAGCCAGCCGATTTTAGGGTCAACACTCAGTTAGAAATTGTCAGATTTTTTATGAAAATTTTGTTTTAACTTTATTCAATATTAAAAAATTTCCTTCTTCTTCAATTTTTTTTTTTTTTTTTGGGTTTTTGTTTTACTTAATTCAATATGTTATTATAGCCTATTGCAATGCTATTACCTAGGATTAAGGCTTTGTTTATATTAATTTAGAGCATTTCCTTTTACTTGCAAGCAACAACTCCTTATAAGTTTATTATTGGAGGTGTGCGCTTTTGCTTGTTATGTATTTTAATTAATTTAATTAGCAATCTGAAATGCTTAGGAATGCCTTTTGAATTAAACCAACGACATAAAATTTAATGACAATACTTTTTGCAGCTTTGTAACCAGAAAAAGGTGAAAAAAAAATTGAAGCATAATGACCAAAAAAGGGTAGGTGAACTATTGCAGCTTACATCTTTTCCAGAACCACTGCCCCGATTGGATTGTGTGGTAAAATCCCCAATGGTGATGCCTGCGGTTCTAAGAGTGATTTGTTTATATAACGAGCCAAATCTGTCTCACCCATGGATGGTCAAACAGCGCCGGCGAGTAAGTAGTGGTGTCGTTATTGAAGGGCGAAAGGTTTTGACAAGTGCTGATGCTGTTAAGAACCAAATCAGTGTCATACTCGAGAAACATAGCATTGGTGGAAGGTATTCTGCAACAGTTCTGGCAATTGGAACTGAGTGCAATGCTGGTCAGTAGATTTCTTTTTATGTTCTGAATTATTTTTTATTATATGTTTAAAAGGTTAGTTTTTTTTTTTTTTTTCCTAAGTAAATTTGGGCCTTTGGAAATCTGCAGCTGTAAAAAATCCTTTCAGAAGTTTTAGTTCACTGAAATAAGTATTGATAGTGCATACTAATTTTCATTTTAATATTTCATTTGATACCTTATTTATTTGTTTAGGAGTCACATTTTTTCCTTTGTGAATTCCACAGCATTGCTGACTGTCAGTGATGATGAATTCTGGGAAGGAGTTAAACCTGTAAACTTTGGAGATTTGCCTTCTCTTGGGGACAGAGTAATTGTTGCAGACTGCGCGAGAGGCCTTAGTGTGGCACGTGGATCTGTATCACACATTGTTGAGCTACCTTATCCTAAAGGCTTACTCATGGGACTGCATGTGCAGGTTATTAAATTTCGGGATGTGTTTCCTCCATATGTTAGCTTCATTTGCTTACTAATTCTTATAATCTAAATGATTTATGTCCTGTGAATAATATACTTGTACAGATATTTGTTTTTCCATATATATGTTATAGGGTAAATTGCAAAAAAAAAAAAAAAAAATGGAGATGAACATACAAATACAACATTGAAACTGACGATACATAGAATGTGAAAGATCTCTGTATCTCTCTCTGTCTCTTAATAGTTAATTGCAACCCAATTGAAATCCAAGTTTGACCTCATAATAAATTGGGCTGGGGCTGAGGCACTCTGCAGTTGCTCAGCTTAGAGCAGATTTGTTTTGCCTTTCTTTTTGGAGGGCTGATGTAGTAGTAATAGCAGTAATAATAATATTGATGATCGTATATTTTTAGACACTTTACCATTCACAGTGATATGAGTATACAAGTCTTAATTGCTAACCTTGACCCTTTTCCAAATTTTGCCTCATATGTGTTAGTATAGTTGTTCTTGTTATACAACTCAAATCTCCTCTATAGTAATGTTTGGAGGCAATAGTGTTAGGTGGTCGTCTTACACTAAAAGATTTAGAAAGCCCAATGATAGCACTACATGTACAAAAACAACTGATATTTTGTTTGAAGAACTATGAAATCTTCTAATCTGAGTTTTCATGCTTTCAGTTTTACCTCAACACCCTATTTTGGAAGTTGTTTATGCTCCGTTTCATTATCATTTTGTGCAGAACTTTCTCCTATCTTTTTGTTTTGATTAATGAGTGTATAGGTACAGCATTAAGACTGATGACTATGCAGAATGTTTAAGGTTCTTTTTTTTTTCCCTTCCTTCAAGCTAATAGAAACCTAACCTAAAGAACTAGCCAACCTATAAACTGAGCTTGCTTAAATGACTCGAGATTCGGTTGGACTTTATAAAAGAAAAGTTTGAGTAATGAGCAGAGCTGCAGCAAAATTTGTATTGATATCTCGTCTTCCAAATGTTTTGTAGGTAAGAATACCTATAAGCAGAGGAAGTAGTGCTAGCCCTGTTTTCGATGACAAGGACAGGTGCATTGGTATCGCATTTCAGTCCAAGAATGGTGTTACTGTCATTCCAACGCCAATTCTTCGACACTTCTTCTGTGATTATGAGCGTAATGGAGCATATACAGGTGCATGAAGTATTTTGTAACCATTGGTGGTACTTTAATTATGTAACTGCCCTATTGTAGCATGTGCTTACCCAATGTCGTCTCTCCTCTCATGTCCTTCCACTCCTTGAGAGAGCTATTGTTTGCAATGGGATTCAGTTGTCCCTATTCCTTGTCCTGTTTGGGGATTTTATGTTACTGGGAAACTTACAGTCCCTCATTCGTCATTCATTTTACTCCTATTTATTGTCTTGTGATGACAGTTTTAATCAACATTTGTTTATGGAAAATGGACTATGAATTTGTACAATTACCTTTCTGTAGGAGTGCCATGATAATTTCTCATTGTGTATTTGAATGACAATTGCAAAACAATGGTTTGGTCAGCATTAGTTAGGACCAAAAAGAATTGGTAATTGTTGTGTGTGCCTATCGTGCTTTGTCAGCTGATGTGGAATTTGGAGTCTTCTCATGGGTTAGCTAGCTGTCTAGTGTAGGTTCTAGGGCTAGGGGTTCAGGAATTATTCTTTCTTTGCCTTTGTAGCCAGTTGTTGGCAATTTCTTCCTCTAATAAATTAAGATGTTTGAGTGTTATATATCTCTCTCTCTGTGGTTAAATTCTAGGTGGTTGTCTGTACGGTGAGGGTTCATGCCTTTCTTTTTGGGGGCCTTTGGACATGCTTGCTCCTTTTGATTTTCTTACAGGCATTTTCCACTTGCCAGGTTTCCCCGTGATTTCGCTTGAATGGATGAAGTCAAGTGAAGATCTACGCATTATGATGGGGATGAGACACGGCCAGCAGGGGGTACTTATTACGAGGATTGAGCCCACAGCTCCTCCAGAATATCAGGTTTTGAAGCTGCATGATGTTATCCTAAGCTTTGCGGGCATTGACGTTGCTAATGACGGAACAGGTAAGAATTTCATTTTTCATGTTTCAATCTGCTTTTCTTTCTTTCTGCTTCCTGTGTGTGAAATACTTTTGGGGTGCCAACTGTCCTTGATTTTTGGTTTGTCAACTTTTCTTTACTTGCCTCTTAAAAGACTCCAATGAGACACAGTTAAGTACTTTGTAGATAAGTGAGTTTAAAAGAACCTATAATTTCTGCTTGGTTGCCAACTTGACGATGGAGCAGGCCTACATTGGTTTTCCAAATTGAGTTCCATTTGTGTGGAACTTTGAAATTTTGCTTTGATGTCGATTTGTCTTTTCAGTTCTATAATGGTATGCTTAGATTAAGGGCCTTAAAATTGGGCTGGATTGGGCTGGGGATCTACCCAAGCTCAATTAATTACTACGAGACAAACTCTTTTTCCTTCATTGTTACCACCTTGCTTTTGAATAACCAAATTTTAAGAAAGATTTTTGAAAATCAGTTGCAGGGATTTACTTCATTTGGATCAAGTACAATGCAAGTCAATTGTATTCTCGTATGTTTTATCCCTACCCTTTGAAACATACACCAACCATTTGTTCACTTTGATTAGATTCATTAGTAGACCTAGGAATTTGACTGGTTCTGAGTTCACTCCAAAAGAGGCCTTGCTTATTTGGATCAGGACTCTTTTGAGTCTTAATATTTATGTTTCCAATGCTTCAAGTGTTCTTTTAAGGCCATACAAGTCTAGGTGCAGATCAGAGGCATCACTATAATTGCCTCCTACAAACTGTATTAAACATTGTCAAATCATATTCAAATCTCTCTCAACTTTGAATGCTTTTTTCATGTCCAATGAGCTCAAAAAGAAATCCGAAATTTGAACAGGACCGGCCTCCCCGAAATCCCCCGAAAGGGTTCCTTTTAGTTGCATTACATTGAATATGATTTGACAATGTTTAATTTAGAATACACCATGAAGAGCCAAGAAACCCTAGTAAATCTAGATTTTTTTCTCTGGCACATTAAAATTGTCAAAAGAGTAAAAGATTTTTTATTGTAGAACTATACTAGTGCAGCAACTTAAAATAAATGCTTCTGCAACTATAGTTGTGTAAAGCCCTTGAAACTACATCATCCCACATTGCTCTTCAATAACTAGCGAGATTACTTCTTAAGACTATGGTCCCTTAGTCCCTCCAACCTCTTTAAGGACACAAACTGAATTCTGTGGTATTGAGACAATAGATGAAGACCAAGTCTTGCTGCTATCTGGAATATCATCTATTGTTTTAATACGTAGCATTTGACTGCTTAGGATCTCCATTGAAGAGATTTTGAGCATGCATTCGAGTCTTCTTTGATGTTCCTTTGAGATATTAAATGCCTAAGATAAGGGAATTCTCCCATGCTTTGCTGTTTAAAAACAAGGTGACATTTCTATCTTATTTAATCTCTTGTTTTCTATTTTCATTCAGTTCTTGCCTTCTCTCTGGCTATATCTTAACCTTTTTTCTTTGCATTAAGCCTATATGATTCATGTATAAACTCCCTTCATCAAACCTAACATGGTATTCAGCAGTTATAGTTGTGCAGTGGTAATGCTATCATGAGGTCGACCTCATGGTAGTTGTCCTTTTGTCACGATCGTATACACATATTGAGGCACGCATCTAACCGTTTAAAAGAGGATTCTATGGAGATTATACTTTCAAAATTTCATATCAAAATTCATTTAAATTAGATCACATGAATCGATCAAACTTTTATATCCTCTTTCGTCGTTTGACTTCATTTGACAAAATTAAACTATCATCTTTGACCGTCTTGTATAATTTTATATTATGGTACTTTGAGCTCATTTTTTTATTTGGCTATGTGATGATGTAATGTTTGCAATTTTTTTTTTTTTTAATAAAAAATTTCAAAATGTGCTAATTTATTTCATGGGGTCAACCTCATGGCCGTATTACTCTATGTAATTAGAGCTGTGATGAGGAGATGAAGATAGGGTGTCCATTTGCCCAAAAACTAAATAAATAAATAATTCAATGTAGTCTCCATGGGTTCCCACGAGTTTCTTTTTCTTATGTTTCTATTGCTTGCTTTCCATCATGGACTACCACCATGTTTCTGCCTTAAGTTCTATTATTAGACAAGAAATACAACCAAAAACCCTTGAGAAGCATAATATTGTTATGCAGGATGATTTGGGAGATATGTCCTAACTATGATTTGGTAATTTCAGTACCATTTGGGGACGCAGGAGGGCGCATCGATCTCAGATGCCTTATTTCTTCTGAATATTATGTTGGCGAATGTGCATTGCTTAAAATTCTTCACAACTTTCAAGTAGAAGAGGTCACCATTAAACTCACGACTTGTAACCCACCCCTTCCTGCTGATGCGGGCAGACCTTCATATTATATCATTGGGGGACTTGTGTTCACGTCAGCGGGTGAACCATTTCATAATGGCTCAGAGGTTTGTATCTTATCGTTGTGAGGTTAATAATATTTGTAGAATCTTAATTGATACTGAATTTAACATTTGCGCTCGTGTCCTAGTGTGGAGAGGACCCTGAATATGTGGATTGGCTCAAGCGAATTCCTTCTAATCAGTTTGTCGTGTTATCTAATGTATCTCTCCCTCTTACAGATCATTCAATTGTCATTCATCTTTAGTGTAAACTAATTAATTGGTAATTTTTGTTAGGTGCTTTCTGCCGAGGTAAATTTTTTATATGAAGACATTGGAGACATAAAATGCGACAAGGTAAGAAGAAATTGATCTCACAATGAAGCATCAGTGACATAAAATGCGACAAATGCATTGAAACTGAAGGATCTTTTGTATGTTCTGTAGGTGTTGGCTTTCAATGGGAAGCCTGTGGAGAATCTGAAGCACTTGGCCAACATGGTCGAAAGCTGTGATGAGAAATTTTTTAAGTTTATGCTCGAAGGAAACAAGGTCCTCCTCCTCCTCCTCCTCTCTCTCTCTCCCTCTCTCTCTCTCTCTGTGTTTTTGTAAATATAACTAATATTTTCTCCTTATTCATTGCAGAAGGTGGTTTTAGAAGCCAGGGCTGCCAGAAATTCGACTCCAGACATTCTTAGAAAATACAATGTTTCTTCGGCTATGTCTTCTGATCTGTCTGCTAATTAGATAGGCTCAGAAATCCAAGACTGAATGTCTTAAATTTACATGTTGGCTGTGGGGGTGCATGTGTGCCCGGTGGTGAATTATTAGGTGCTCTAAAACCCGGGCACCAGCATCATGGACTAAAAAAAATAGAGACTGATTTATAGTACTATTTAATGTGTTGAAGTTGACTTCTTGTTCAAAAGAGTTTAGGATGATTTATGTAAATTCATCTTTTTTCAATCACATCCAGTTTTTTATTATTTTGTGGTTAATAATATTTGTAGAATCTTAATCGATACTTATTTTACTGATCAAAAACTAATTTATACTAATTTTAACATTTGCACTGTGTCCTAGTGAATCGTCTCTTATAGATCATTCAATAACCATTCATGTTTTAGTAGGTAAATTTTGTTTGGTGCTTTCTGTCGTGGTAAATTTTGTTCGGTGCTTTCTGTCGTTGTAAATTTTGCAGTTAAACATGTCTTAACTTGCAGCGATGCTATACATATATTTAGATTCTAAAATTATAATTTTTGTCGTCTTGTCAAGGCTCCAACTAACTTAATGTGACAAAGTTGACCTTCAAAAGGCTTATCAGGTGAAATTATGTGAAGTCGACCCTTTTAGTTTTACTTAATTCATCCTTTTCTTAAAAAAAAAGGTTTTGAAAAAGAAATTCAAAAGACTTTAATATTGGCTTTATGTATTTTGTCATTTGAGTTAACATGATTACTATTAGTCTCTCTTTAACTTTTTCCCAAATGCTACACAATTATTAAATAGGTGAAACCATATGATATGCATAACATATTTAATAAATGGTTCAAGATTTAATATGACATATCAAGATAAGAGGGAATTAAGAATTTTGTTAAATGGGTCATTTTAATTAAATTTTTTATTAAATGGGTCATTTGAAATTTAACAGCCACTCCTCCTTTGAAGCAAAGGAAAACACGAAACATGTATTGTTTGTTGCAAGGTCATTTTTGAAGAAGAGTTCAAAATTTTTAATCACTTCTAGTTGTTGTACCCAAAAAAGAAAAGAATTTTTTTTTTTTTGATTTTTAACAGACCATTTTATTTTTTAAACTTGTATTTTTACCGAGCTTGTTTTCGTGTTTTCAAACTCAATATATCATATGTCTTACAAAAGTATACGTGTATATAATCTCAATATATACATATATACGTTTAAGTAGATTAGATGGATGGGGAAAACAGAAAGAGGCAAAGAAATGTGACCGTTGTTGGTCATAGCTGGCCTTCATCTGTGGGTTATTGGGGTCTATGAAGATAACGAACGACACTGGTAGCAACGTAATGGGGGTTATTCTATGAAAGTAACATCTAATAGTGATAGGTGGAGATCATATGTTAATTTTTTAACAACTAGGACTGCAATTTGGGTGGGTCAACTCGGTCCAACCCGAACCTAGCCCGAAAATTTTGAAATTTGAGCTTCTAAATTTACTTCCGTTTTTTTTATCAAAACCTAGTCGTGTTCGGGTTGGTTTCAGGTTCAACCGAAACCCAAAAAAATAAAAAATCCCAAATCATTATTTATTTTTTTATTTTTTATTTACACCTTCCAAGTGGAATGATATAACTAAGCAGTGCTAGATTTCATAAATAAAAAAATTAAGATTGTATTACAAATGGTAAATACGATGTGGTGTTTCTCCCGTCAGGTCACTCTCTTCTCTTTCTTAGGTTAGTTTTTCTTCCTCAATATTCTCTTTTCAAAAGTATAAAGATGTAAAGTCCATACTAGTCATCAACGTCAAAATTAATGCATTAGACGATTGTCTATAACTAATTTCTTTTATAGGTGCCTTGATTTTTTTTTTTTTTTTTTTGAGCAATCATCCATATAATATTACATAGATAGTATTAATATTTCACTAATTTCGTTTTATGGGTGCCTTCATTTTTTTTTTGGAGTAATCATCCATGGAATATTACATAGATAGTATTAATATTTCTTGTTTAATCTGGAATGTTTACATTAATGAGGATAAGATTAATATGTTTTGTTGACCTCATTCAATTTCACTCTCAGTGGCCCACGGAGTATACTTCTATATGACACTATGTGCTAGACTTTTGCTCCGGAAATGGCACGTCGATGGTTTCATTCTTACTCCTCTTCGAATCACCTTCCGTCTATCAATGCAATGATAGAAATGGCCTCCTTCCTCGTCTTGGGTCCCACCCAACAAATTTTTTTTAATGGTAATTTTAAGATCTAATCCTACTAATCTAACAACAATTAGTTAATTAATTTTTCTTTTATTTATTTTAAAAAACTTACTCTTAAAAGTGAATCTATAAAGTTAATAAACTTGTCTTATTTTATTTTAAAATTAAAAATAAAAAATTCCTTTTGTTTCTTATTGAATAAACTTTTAATTCCTTTTGTTCAAAATATTTTGGTTTGGTCTCTGGCTTGTGCTAGGGTTTCCTTATCAATATATGTATAAGTTGTGTTAGAGTTTCCTTTTAGAATAATTTGGAAATAAAAGTTTATTCAATAACAAACAAAAGGAATTTTTTATTTTAAAATAAAACAAGACAAGTTTTATTTTTATTACATTAATGAAAATAAATTAGAGTTGGAAGCACACAAAAACTAATAATTGAATAGTAATATATTGATAAATAAAAAATAAAAATAAAAAAACAAAAGAGTAGTAATGAATTGGAAATTATAATTTTCTCGGGAAAAAAATAACAAAAGAGTAGTTAAAATAGATGTAATTTGCAAAGTTTTTGCATACCAACCCACCCGAAATTATTCGGGTTGGGCTTACATGGAGCCTAGTTCTGGATTGACATTGGGCCGGCCCAACCCATCCCGGCTTTGGGTTGAGTTTGGGTTCGGACTGGGCAGCTTGCACTCTATATTTGTTTCAAAATTATTCAGATCCTCAAATAATTCGGGAAAAAATATATATAAACGTACTTGCGAGGATCTGAATTAGTTTGATATGAGCTCAAGTTATGTTATTGGTTTACGGTCTTCAAATTTCTACCACATTTCAAAGAGATATTATTCGCTCGTTCAAAATTTTGCTAATTTACCCTATAATCATCTCTTGCATGAGTTAATTGTTGTTTGAAATTGTTGGCACCAAAACTTGGTAGCCACTTCAGTGGTGACGTGGACCAGCGATGGGCCGACACTTGTTTAGTATGGTTTCAAGAAAAGTCGGCCAATTGAGAAACAAGAGGAGAAAATCTAGGAATTTAGCCACCTTATCCAATAAGGTTGTTGCTGAAATTTGGTAATTAATATTTGAGTTAATTCAAATATATTATTTCAGTTTGGATAGAAAAGATTTAGTTGGAATGAGATTCCTATGAAATAGGAATTTCGTTGCAAAGGAATAAGGAATTCAAAGGAGAGGCCGTCACGTGAGGGATAATTTGGGCAAAAGTTATGAATGGTCTTCCAGCCATTTAAGGGAAGTTTTCAGCCTAACTTAAGGAAAGGAGTTGCTAAAAGTTAGCAACTTTCCAGCAACTTTTCAGCATATTTCTCGACAACTTGCATTTGACTGGATCAAGGAGAGATTTCAGCAAGGACTTTCCTATTGAAGCAAGAAGAGAAGAGACGCAAAAGACTACTGGAACGTGGTTTAGTTTGAGTAATAAAGTGAAGAAAATCAAGGAGCAAAGAGATTTTTTGGCAATTAATTAGGAAAATAAGTTGAGATAGAACTTCTATAAATAGAAGTATTGTATTCCATTTCCAATTCGTCCAGCACCACCACAAAACATGCATTTCAACTAAAAATGTTTTCAATTGACTCTACGTCATTTTCCTATCAATTTCTTTATTTCAATTTAATGGCAATTGATTAGATCCTCGTCAACTATTTCGATTCAGCCATTTACTTTCTTTCAATTTCAATTATGCCAATTTTAATTACGCAATTTTAGTTAGGCTTTCAAATCAATGGCAATTGATTAAATTCTTGCCATTGAATCGTAGTGACAATTGATTAAATTCTTATCATTACTAGGCTGATGGCAATTGATTAAATTCTTGCTATCACGTTTCAGTGGCGATCGATTAAATTCTTACCATTGTGTTTGGCTGATGGCGATTGATTAAGTTCTCGCCATCACGTTCGGTCGGCGATCGATTAAGTTCTTACCGCCTGTCTTCACTCGGCCATTCCATCCATTCAAACATTCATCAGCCGTTGCATTTCTTTAGACACTCTAAAAGGTCCTTGCTACAAACAAGGCATAAAAGAACCTTGCTGGGAGTTCTTACTAGTCTCTCTCCCACACAATTGCCTGAGAGTCAGCCATCGGAAAAAGGGATAGGCTAGTGTTCAATTACATATTTTGGGTATTTTGTACAAATACTCTGGCACGCCCGCGAAGAGTCCATCGACCGGCGTAGGGAACAAAAACCGCGCGAACACGTTTTGGCACGCCCGGTGGGACCACTACTAGAGTGTTATAAAAGAGGCAAATATGCCGCAGCTCATAAAAAATTCTAAGGCCGTGGCTACTGATGAAGATTTGGAGGAAGGCGATCAGCTAGTACAGGCTGAGAACTCTGCAGCAGGTCCTACTGATGAGTTAGCTGTACTTCAAGCACAGGTTAGCTCCTTGGTAGATGCAATGGGAAGGATGGGAGCACGCTACAACGACTTGCATGAAAATATGTCCCAACTCTCAGCCTTTATTTTGAACAAGCCGACTCAAGCTAGCAGCTCCAACAATCAGGAATCGGTTTCTCAGCCGAATCTATCACAAGCTGCTCGGCCAGAGAGGGCCATTGAAACATCACAGCCATGGCCGCCAGTAGTGACACTCCAACCAGGTGCAACATCAAGTCAGCCGGTTCATACGCTACTCACCTGGGCAGAAAGCTATCCTCAGCCTACGTTGGCAGGTTCTAATCAGCCACCAGTAGCAGGTTCGCGGCCACAGGTAATTCCACCAAACCCTCCTCAGATGCCTTTGAACTCGGGGGGCAATTAGATCAGGTGGAGGCCACCGAACCCACTGTATACTCATGTGCCGCCACAGGTAGGGCTCGGGGGGCAGAATATGGCTAATCAGCCACATGATTGGCCGAATTGCTATCAACCAGCGGCTAATCAGCCGCCAGTTTTTAATCAGGTACCACCAATATTAAATCAGCCACCTCAAGTCATGTTAGATAGAAGACAATTAGCTGATTTACTCATAGAAGAATATAGCCTGGAACTTAGAGGTGCCGGCCGACCAATTTATAGAACTCCTTATC